TGGGAGAAGGTCAATGATTCTTCCTTAGTCTTTTGTTTCTTAAAAACAAAATAATGCTGGGCTGGCCAAGTGGCATGTTGGTTAAGAGTTGGCTTGGAAAGCCAGCTCGAAGCAGCAGGGCCCCGGTTCGGATCCCATATGCGGGCCAGTGATGCTCGCCCTCTACAGCTAAGATGGTGAACAACAGCTCAACCTGGAGCTGGGCTGCCATGAGTCACTGGTGACGGTGTAGGCTGCAGTGGGGCTGGCCGGCAACTGGAGTGCGCTTTTGTGAGCTGCTGTGAGCCACCGTGAGCGGCTGTCCAATGGCCAGCGAGCAACTGCTTCACCCAGGAAGAGTGCAACGATAATACCAACATGGGCCAGTGAAGCGACGTCCTCCACAACTAGACTGAAGAACAAAAAGGACAGCAACTTGTCTGTTTTCCTTCCCCAATTCCCCAATGCTGTTCCCCTCCCATTTCCCCAATAAAATATTAAAACAAAAAAAAAAAAGAAAGAAAGAAATAATCCACATGCCAGGGAGACACATTTTGGGGTGGTAAATTTTGTTTCCCTGTAAATTACATTAAGTCTAGTGAAAAATTGGGAAATGGCCTACATTCACTCTAAGATGTAATGAGGGTGTCAAGAAAAAACACAGGAAGTAAACGGGTTGCCTTGAAAGAGGTAGGAGGAAATGTTTTAAAAATAAACTAGTCAAAGATTCAGAAAAGAGAGAGCAAGATTACCAAACACAAATGTGGCCTACTTCAAAATTTTGACCAGTACTATCTCTGCTTAGATCATCCAATAAAGGAAAGAAGACCCAAGATTCATTGTGAAATAGTTTGGCAAGAAGCAATCTTGGGTGTAGGAAAGGCCAGTTTTCGTACTTCTGTCACATAGACCTGGGAAAATATTATGTTGGGTTTTCCTATTTTCACTGGGAAATTTGTGTTCTGGATGATTTCTAATTGTCTCCTCCACTTTTATTGTTTCATAGGATATAGGGAAGTCATACAGGGACCGTTAAATATTTGCTCACCCTCCTGGGAATCCCTGCACTTCATGGCAGTGACCTGAATGGAAGCTTTCCCAACGCACGCAATGAGTACATAAAAGACAGGATTTCATGTAACAACTGAGACTTTATTCCACTTAATATATGATATGAATTCAGTGACCAGCCATGCAGAATTTTTAATGCGGACAAAAATGGGGCTGCATATTAAACCTGATAAGCTCAGGAAAGGCCTGCATATGGCTGGTGGGCCTTACAAACTCAGAGACCGGAGGTAACTACATAAGATGGTCTGAACATAGAAGTTCCTAACTAAAAGCAGGTCATGGATGGTAATCACTGTCCTAGGCCTGTAGCTTCCTTGACAAAGGTCAATCTTTACCTAAAGTGAGCCTGACTATTGTCTTCTTGCATCTAAGATAACATACCTTTGAAATGTCAGCATAATCTCCTTTTTTTAAAAAAATCTCCTTTTTTGAGACCCCTCAGGGCACAATCTCCCACCAGAGACTGCAAAACCCCTCATTATTATCTTGTTGCCCACATACCTGCGCTATGTGCTGTAAATGTTAATTATTAACTATCCTGTATCCATGAATGTAAAAGAAGTATGTGTCTCTATGTTTTACAGTCTATCCAATCTCAGAAATTTCCCCACTTTGCTTTCTCCTGCCTCCCTAATCTACCACCAATGAATTTCATGTAACCCCAGCTTAGGGCTCCTCCTTTGATTCTACTGCATAAAATAAGCTGTAAAACTTCCATTGTCTGGATCATTTTCTTGATTCATTGAGATTTTGCTTCCCAGCAATTGTCTTCAGTTTGGCTCAAAGAAACTCATAAAAATTCCCTACAGGTTTGGATGTTTCTTATATCGATATTAAGGACATCCAATTTTCATACCGTATTTGCCGGCGTATAAGACGATTTTTTGGCCCTGAAAAATATGCCTCCAAGTGGGGGGTCGTCTTATACGCCAGGTACACTTCAGATAGACTGCCCATAGTGCTTGCCCCGTGCCATAGTGGCCTCCCGATGCCCGCCCACTTCATTCCACATACCGTTCAGGCATCAGCAGCGCTGCTGGGTGTATGCTCGGCTGTTATGCGATTTTACCACACTCGCAAAATCGCACACAGCCGACCATATAACAAACTCTGTATTTTGAGTGGAAATGTTAGGGGGTCGTCTTATACGCCCAGTCGTCTTATACGCCGGCAAATACGGTATATCAAGTCCTATTATTGCATATTTACATCCCAATATTTGGTTTGGAAACTAATCAGTGAAATGGGAGATATACGCGGTCTGACAATTTCACGAACTTGCTGCACCGATGTTACTAACATTTTTTTATATCAGAGGGATTATTCATTATGATTCTGTACCAATTAGACAAATAGTTAACCAAGTTTACTATTTGGAAGTGCTGAAAGGCTGCGTGACAAAGTTAGATGACCTGAACTTTTGGCCAACAATTCATGGCTCTTGCATGACAACAATGCACCAGCTCACGGCACTCTCTGTGAGGGAGTTTTTAGTCAGTAAACAAATAACTGCATTGAAACACCCTCCCTACTCACCTGATCTGCCCCCCCTCCAATGACTTCTTTTTTTACCCAAAGATAAAGGAAATATTGAAAAGAAGACATTTTGATGACATTCAGGACATCAAGGGTAATACGATGACAGCTCTGATGGCCATTCCAGAAAAAGAGTTCCAAAATTGCTTTGAAGGATGGACTAGGTGCTGGCATTGGTGCATAGCTTCCTAAGGGGAGTACTTCTGTTACCAGCCGAGAGGCCTCCCAAAGAATTTTAAGTTTTCTTTCCTATAGAAATGTTAAGTATAGAAATGTTAAGTCTCCTCCCTAGTTTCTTAGTTCCTTAGCTCTTGGCTTTGATTACTTTTCTAACTAATTTGTAAATCCTAGACTAAAGATTGCTCCTACCCTGAATCCTAGAATTCTCCCATCCCCCTGCTTCTTGATTGCTTTGTAAATCAGTTTCTGAATCCTGAACAATAGAAGTCTCCCACTCCTGCTTCAGATAATTACTTGTGGGCCTGTAACTTCCTAATATCCCCCCAGGCCAGTAAGCTAAATGCCAAACCCATTCTGGGCCCAGACAACTGACACCACCTGAGTAACAGGCTGAATGGCCACAGGCTTCATGAGAGCTAACAGATTTATTAATTAAAATCTATTTTTCCTCATTCAGGGACTTTGGGGTACAGAGGATACCCCAACAAGATTGCTGGTCACAACCAAAGAAGCCAACGCGGTCTTCCAGGCGGAGCTCGAGACAACCTTCCTCTCATCTGAGATCAGCTAGGGCGAGAATTCCGTGAACCCCTAGTAGGCAGGGACAGCTCTATGCCCCTGCCCAGCAGGAAGCAGGTACAGAAGAAGAGACCTCCTGCCTCTCAACTTCCCATAGAGATTTTATGGGGATCACGTCTCTCAAGGGAAAACTAGGCAGGCAGTTAGAGGCAGGCATTGGGTCTCTGCATTCCTGCACGTCCCACAAAGTGCACCGCCCCATGACATCCCCTCTACACCCAAAGCTCCTCATTGTATTGTAATTATCTATCCCTGTGGGAAAACAAATGGGCGCAACTAGATCAGACCAGTCACTTGCACCTGCACAGTACAGCCTGTCAATCACAGGTGCCAATCAAGTGGTCCCACATCCTTAGGGGAACAGCCCATTTCTAGAGAAGGGATAAAAACCCCAAGTCCTGGAAAGTTCGGACCCTTTTTTCCCTTTTTGGACACGCTGATCTTTTGACCGCTTCTTCCTTTTTGAGCCTGGCCTTTGCACATGGCCTGCTCCAAACTCTTTGGAATGTAATTTCTCTTCTAATAATGGGCCCTTGAGCCATTCTCTACTGTTCGGGCCTACTTCTGCTTTTTTGAAATGTACTATCTTTTCAAATAAACTACTTTTTCAGTGCTTTACTCTGGCATCTCATTCAATTCCTTGCTCAAGTTGCCAAGGACCTGGATTTCACACCGAAAAAGTCCCACTTTCTGACAACACTTCAAAGGTGACTGTAGTGATATTCAGCAATGAGGTATTTAGCATTTTTTCTAGGATGAGTTAGGAAACTTAATTGTCAGACCTCGTTCATTCTTTTACTTGACGGTTCTGGCACATGTGGGTTGTGTAGGCCCACTGATCCCACCAATGTAGCAGGGCTTGTTGCCTTCAAAGAGATCTCAGGGGCCGGCCAAGTGGATCAGTTGGTTAAGCGTTGGCTTGGGAACGTGAGCTTTGAGCAGCAGGGCCACCAGTTCGGTTCCCACATGGGCCAGTGACTCTACAGCTAAGATTGTGAACAACAGCTCGACCTGGAGCGGGGCTGCCGTGAGTGGCTGGCAATGGTGTAGGCTGCAGCCCCTGCTGCTGTGGGCTGCCATGAGCTACCATGAGTGGCTGTCAGCCAGCGAAACTGCCATGAGCCGCCGTGAGCCATTGTGAGCAGCTGTCCAATGGCCAGCGACCTATCTGCCTCAGCCGGGAAGAACGCAATGATCACAATACCAACTGGGCCAGTAAAGCAGAGTCCTCCAAAACTAGACTGAAGAACAAAAAGGACAGCAACTTGTCTGTTCCCCTTCCCGGATTCCCCAATGCTGTTCCCCTCCCCCAATTCCCCAATACAATCTTAAAAAAAAAAAGAGAGAGATCTCAGGGCTCCAGAAAATCTCTTGTTGTTGCCCTTCAGGGAGAGGTTTAAAAAGCATTCTCCCAACACCAACACATTTCTATCAATCTCAAATCAAAGAAATATGTTTTTAGTTTTAGTTGAGAAGTTGGTATGTTAAGGAATCTTTTAGCTGCTCTTTTTCCAACTACAACATGCATAGAGAAAAAGCACAGCTTTCAAGCTCTGATCTACAAAGAGTTAACATCTTAGGAGCTAAACAGAACTGCCTGTATTAACTGCTCTCTTAACAAGCCGGGCAGACAAGAGGATTCTAGAGTACCAGAGGACATCACAGAAGTCAGAGAAAAGAATTAGCAAGAACTCTGGAGGAAGCAAAAACTGTAAGTTTATATCTAATACATATTCCTAGTCTCCAATTTCTCTTCATGGGGTGTTTTTGAGAAGACTGAAACAAGTTTATTCATTTTGTATTATACCAGCAGTCTCTCAGGCATTAGGCACATCACTAGATCATCTTGAGTCCTGTCACCCTCTTCACTCCATCCCACATCCAACTAATTGTCAATTCTTTTGTATACAAGTGAACACTTTGCTCAACATTGCTCAAGCAGTAGTTCGCCATAATCAGAAGTGCCTGGATGCTGATTGTAACCACTTTGAGCACCTCTTGTAATCGCAGAAGTCAAATGTGACTTGTATTCATCTTTTGTTATTGGGATATATTTAGTATTACAATTTTAATACAGTTTTCCTTTCTTAAAATGTGTATTCATTTTTTGGCACTCTCTGTAGGGTGCCTCTGTATGTAAATTGCTGGCCATGTGGACAGAACGAATAAAACTCCTCTATCTTAAATGCAAGGTCTTCCAAAACATGCTTCCTTTCACTTAAATTCTCACAACTCTCTTTCTCAAATCTGTCATGCCTCCCTGCTGTTGTGCAAGACCACCCTGCTCTTTGCTCGTCCCTGACTCTATTCAGATTATCCTCTTTGTATCTCCACCTGCCAAAATCCCTCCCAGACTCCAACAGCTCTCCCTCCATAAAGCTTCATCTGATCCTTCAAGTGATTGTGAATTTCAGCCTTCCTTTTCACTCTCATTTTGCTTTGTTCTCTGATTGATTTTTTTATATTTTACCTTAGAGTTAAACGTGTGTTTTCTCATTTCCCATCTTAATTAATCACTTCCTAAGAGCAAGGGTTCTATTTTTCTTTTCCTGCAGCAAGTGAACAAAATGGGCACACAGTAATATTTGTCAGTAAGTTCTGTCCAAATTCCAGGAGTTCCTATCATCTTTTATGAACATTCGTACAATTGACACTGTAATTACAGAGCCTACACTTTTCTCTTCAGCTCTGCTCCAAGTTTCTTTCTCTGTGCTTAATTTCATTTGCTTCTATCCTCTCACATAAAATCAGTTCTTTCTGAGTTCCCTACCTCACTGGAAAACTTTTTTTTTTTTAAGATTTTATTGGGAATTTGGGGGCGGGATACAGCATTGGGGAATCAGGGGAGGGGGAACAGACAAGTTGCTGTTCTTTTGTTCTTCAGTCTAGTTGTAGAGGATGTCGCTTCACTGGCCCATGTTGGTATTATCATTGCACTCTTCCCAGGTGAGGCAGTTAAAACAACACTAAGCAGAGTGGTTAATAACTTGTCCATGGTCACACAGCCAAGGAAGAATGTGAATCCATGTCTTTCTTATTCCTAGGCTCTTGATCACAACCACTATTTAAATTCATCCTCTTCAAATTTAATCAGAGGTGAGTATAAAATCAGTATAAGAATAATTGCTGGTGGGGCCAGCCGAGTGGCTCAGTTGGTTAAGAGCTCACGCAAGAGTGCGAGCTCTGAGCAGCAGCGATTCGATGCCTGGCCTGAGCTGAGTTGCTGCTGAGCTGTCAACGGGTTGCAGGATGGCTCAGTTAAAAAAAAAAAGAATAATTGCTGGTGTCATCAAGCTGGCTTTATGCACCCATCACTAGTAAAGTGTTATTCTTTTTTTTTTTTTTTAAGATTTTATTGGGGAATTAGGGGAGGGGAACAGTGTTGGGGAATCGGGGAAGGGAAACAGACAAGTTGTGCTTTGGTTCTTCAGTCTAGTTGTGGAGGACTTCGCTTCACTGGCCCACGTTGGTATTATCATTGCGCTCTTCCTGGGTGAGGCAGATTGGTCGCCGGCCACTGGATGGCCACTCACGGTGGCTCTTGGCAGCTCACACCAGCTGCCAGCCACTCATGGTAGCTTCATGGCAGCCCACTGCAGTCTCACTGCAGCCTACACCATCCCCGGCAACTCACAGCAGCCCAGGTCCAGGTCGAGCTGTTGTTCACCATCTTAGCTGTAGAGGGCGCAGTGTCACTGGCCCTCATATGGGATCAGAAGTGGGGCATGCTGCTCAGAGCTGGTGTCCCAAACCAGCTCTTAACCAACGCACCACTCGGCTGGCCCAAGTGTTATTCTTTACTCATGCACCCTTGCCCCCAGTGCACTGCAATTCTGAATATCACTGCAAGGGAATTCTTTAATTCTTTCATTCCCTTGAGTTAAAATGATTGGTAAGCCCTCCAACTTTACATCTACTCTCCACTTCTTTTTTTCCTGAGAGATTAAGTCTGGCCACTTCATTGGATTTTGGATGTTCCTTTATCACACCTTCACTGAGTTTCCTGAGTTTTCTTTTCTGACATGCTGATAACCTCCATTTTATTCTTAGAGCTTCTTTGACTTCAGTTTTAGTGGTACGTACTTTTCAGTTGCTCAACAGTGCTATACAGCTTTGGTGGTGTATTTTGGAATGGTCATAACCAAAACAATCTTCTCTGGACCCAGATATTAAAGAACCACAGCATCTCTTCTTTCACTATAGCTCCATGTTTGCAAATGGCTTCAGGTCCAGAAGGCCAGGCCTGTGATGCAGTCACTTCTCCTTTCCCTTCCATATTACTTCTCTATAGAAGGAGGTTGGGAAGATGCAGTATCTTAGCCAACCTGCAAATGCTTAAAGGTGATTTACTTTAAAACAAAATAGTTTCCTTGGTTGTTTCTATTCTGTTCTAATCCAAGGACTATTGTCTAACATGTGAAAGTACATAAACTTTTGGGTGATTGTTGAGCTTCTTTAAAATAGGCATGCTATAAAATCTGTATAGACCCATTTAAAATGATGTCATTGGAAAAATGTTCCCTACTTTGGTTTAAAAAAAATTAAACATTACAGAACAGAATATGAATGACCCAATTCAAGTTAAATTGTCTGGAAAGTAGATCAACAAAAGGTTAATGTTCTCTCCCAGTGATAGAATTTCTCTATCATGCTTTTAATTTTCTTATTTATATTTCTCTGTTTGTTCAAAACAAGCTTGGGAACAAGCTTCTTCAGTTGACAAGTCAAGCTAGCTTCGGCAAAAAGGGGGAATTTGTTCAATAGAACACAGGACTCTCCTATAGAACTTAAGGACAAGAACAGAGACAGGCTTTGGAAAAGACTGAAATCAAAAACAGAAAGCTTTCAGGACCTTTTGACTCATCTCAGTCATTCTCTCTTGATTTGTTTATTCATTCATCTATTCATGTATTCAATATATATTTATTAGGTGCCTAACATGTTCCAGGAGCTGTTCAGGTACTAGGAAAAAGAGATAAACAATATAAACCAATTTTCTGCCTCCAATGTCCTTATATTTTACCGAGAGGAGACGGACAATAAACCAGTGTAAATAGATTAAGGTAGTTTCTGAGTATGGTAAGTGTTACAAAGGAAATAAACTGGGCCATATGACGGTAAAACTGAGGAAGTGCTCATTTTAGTTATGAAGGTCAGAGAAAGTCCTCTTGACAGAAGAAAATATGTGAGAGACTAAATCAGCTCTGTAAAGAGCAAGGAAAGAGCATTCCAGGGAAGTACAAAGCCCCAAGGCAAAAAGGAGCTTGATAACAGGGGAGCAGAGAAGAGGCCAGGGGCCATGGCGTGTTGTGAGCTATAGGAGGAAAGGTACCAGGTGTGATCTGAGGAATAGGGGAAGGGCAGATCTTGGAGGGCTTTGTAGGCCATGGTAAGGAATTTAGATTTTATATTAAATGTGAAGGAAAGCCATTGGAGAATTTTAAGCAGGATATGCTATGCCCTAGTTGTTTTATGAAGGTCACTCTGGATATTTCAGGGAGCATTGACGGGAGGGGGATAGGAAGAGGAAAACGGGAGAGCATTAGGAAAAGATGATAGTTGTGGTAAGAAACACAGGTGCCTTAAATTACATATTATAGTAGCTGTGGAGACAGGGTGATATTTTTCGGGAAGTACCTGGAGGATTTGGTAATGGATGACGGAAAAGGAGGAATCAATTGGGAACTGATATGACAGTAATGCCATTTATGGAGATAGAGAAAGCAGGGGATATCACATTTGAGAGAGAAATCAAAATTCCCATGTGAGACAGGTGAGTTTGAGATACCTAGTAGTCATGCAAGTGGAAATGTTTAAAAGACAGGAAGATGTACAAATCTGAAGGTCAGGGCTGCAGATAAAAATTTGGGAAGCAACAGCATATATACGCAGAATGTAAAGCCAGGAGGCAAGATACTATAATCCAGGAAAAGAGTGTTGACCAAAGTGGGAGGGGACTCTACAGATAGGATTTCCCCAGTTATTCAGGCTACAAAGTTGAATATGACCATTCCAGAACTCCCAAGTTTACATAATATTATAGTTCTAGCCATACACAGAGGCTAATTTAGCTCTCTTAGTCCCATTTCCAGCCTCATGGGAAAGAGAATCTGAATGTCCCAGCTCAGGTCAGTTTGTCTCCCCCTCATCCAATGAACAATGACTGTGGGGACTGTATCATAGATTATAAACTGGTGACTGGGGGCTCAGTCCCTGTAAGTGGAGTGGGGAGGGATGGGTCAGGGGTTCATTTCCCAGGGAGAGGGGATGGTCATTGGCTTCCAGGCTGAGGAGACACTTACAAAATGATCCAAAATGATATGCGTCATTCTATAACCAGAAAAAAACTGATTTCATTTTTTTTTTTTAAGATTTTTTTTTTTAATTGGGGAATTGGGGGAATGGGAACAGTGCTGGGGAATTGGGGAAAGGGGAACAGACAAGTTGCTGTCGTTTTGTTCTTCAATCTAGTTGTGGAG